AGTGGTCTGGAGGGGTCTGTGCAGCCCACAGGTGTAGCCTGCCAAAAATCTACATGCAACAGCACAGCAAGAGTCAGTCAGGCATTTCTTAGGCCTTTGAGCCAGAGATCATAACTGTGCTTAGTGTCAGTGAACCAGCATCAGGAGCAGCATCTTCCCTCCCTGTTTGCAGATGGCTTAGCTGTTCTTCCACTTCGGGGACCGCCAGCTCCACACGGGAGCTCTTGAGACCTGCAGCAGCAGTTCCACGTTCTGTTTGTAAGCAGTTCCTTGCCCCTTAGTTGCAAACCTCTGCTTATTAGCATCAATGATACCTAAAGGCAACAAAAATTGAAAATTAAGTACATGGCGAGAAATTCTCTAGGATCTTGCAATTCAGAGGCTTGTCGAAGTCAGCTTTTGTGCAGACAGTACCACACATTTTTTTCTTGGCATCAAGTAGTATTTTTGTGAAGTTAGAATTATGTAACTGGTAGAACATTTAAATGCTCAAGAAATTTCTATTTGCTTAATTCCAAGCTTTCTGGGCACTGGCCTACAGTACCAAATTTTTAAACATGGCACTCATTCTTGCTATCAGACAAGTGGGAGAAAGTTCTGTATTGATCTCCTGCTCTGAAAAAAAATATTTCCACATATTGCAAATTGCTTTGAATTCAAGCAAATCCCTTGGAAGAAGCTGAGATACAACAATACAGAACTCAGCGCATGGTGAAAGACTTACAAAAACCATGGAAAACAATGCCTCAGCCCCCAAATTACTTGCGAAAACTGAGCATAATGCTTGCTTTCCCCCCACACCAGCTTATGTGTCAAGACTTGCTCATTCAAGTAGCAAAAATACCTTCTGAAATAAATTGCCTTAAGAAAAGAACTATCAAACAGCAACTCTAACAATACAGCTAATTTTGCTTGTTTCCTTTCATGTGAGGTATACTCATTTTCATCTACCCAGCCCAAATCACCTCTGAAGGAGCTTTTAATATTGACTCTTGCTCTACATTAAACATGCCTCTCGACACAGCATACTTGGTCAAACTGTGCTTTTAGGCAGTGCTATGTGATTAATAGGAAATTTTACAAACAGAAACTTTGTTACCTGCACATTCACTGAGGGGTTTGCTCACGGCCTAAGCAGAATGCTATTCAACTATGAAATGAGAAAACTTGCATTTCTAAAAGACAAAAGTTGTGCTGCACAGGTACAACTGCAGCAAGTGTACAAAGCTTTAAGTAAGCCACCAGGAAGCATGTCCTAATAGTCCTGCTACTGTCCTGAGAGCATCACTTTATTAAAACACTCAGCAGTTTATCAGTCCCCAGGCTTTGAAGGCTCAAGCATTAAAGTATGACATTGATTTCAAAGCAGACTGAGGGACACACTACCCAGAGACCAACTGGCAACTGATATGGCAAAAGTTTCACCATACAAAAGCCTCAGCCACTGATATCTATCACAACTAGCACCTATCACCACCAGACTGCAGCTAATAGCCTCTGTTGTACTGCTTAAATGCAGCAGATGTGGAAAAAAGTGACTTGAGGTGGCACAAACAAACTGTTTACACTCAGTTCTGCGGACTACAGTGCAATCTGCTCCTCCACTACACAGTTATTGTCTGCAAAGCCAGAGGAACATATTCTCATAATTTCAAGAGCAATTCACATCTAGTGCATAGCTCAAGAGCCTGATACAGAGATCTGTTCCATCACACCACGTTCTCCCCAGCTGAAGAAACAACTCCATCTATGACCTGGCAGGAAACATTTTATTCTGAGAAGTCTTCCCTTTGTCATTCAAAAAAAATATCAACAGCTGAGTCAGCTGTGAGGAAATCATACCTTAAATACCCTAGGTCTACCCACCTCTCTCCTTTAAGCAAGTTCTGAATAAGTCAGGGACCAAAAATTAAGTTCACCTACTGCGATCAAATACCTGTAGCCCAATACAATCGACTTAGGCCAGAATGCTGGCAGATACTTTGGTCAGACAACTGACAGGCAACTCCTTGCTGACAGGAACTGCTGGACAGACATTTGTTCTCATCCTGGGACCTCTTTTTGCAGGACTTAACATCACTATGTGCTACTGTTGTCTCCCCAGCAGGGAACGAGAGGTAACCGGTGCATGAGACAGCTCAACTCCTTCCTCGAGGGTGGTCATCTGGAATTCAAGCAAAGGGTTGCCAAAAATGTTATTCCCAGTCAGTAGCCACAGAAAGTTACTAAATAAGCCAGAGAGTGATGAGGAGAAGATAGCCATGTAGACATGCCTGGATTCATGACAGCCTCTGCTGCAGATGTGCACCTTCAGCAAACTGCATAATGGGGACAAGAGGTTCAGGACTGCTCTGTCCCACCCCAAGCTCCATCTGAAACAGTCGTTTCCAAAAGCTCCTGCCCTATTCCTCCAGCTGAGAGGTCCTGAACTACAAAGATCTGCAGCAGAACCAAGCAGGATAGAGTAGTTGATGATATAAGCTTAGCAAAGATCAGTTGTTAAAGTTTTCAGAAGTCACTGGTTTTATTATGGCCTGCACTAAGGTACTGGTATTTTAAAAGCACTAAGCAGGGCATGTTTTCTGCTCAAATTTATCAAATGATACAGCTGCTGGATTAACAGCTGAAACCAGAGTCGGTTGAAATATTAGACCAGCTTTGAACAGCAGTGGCTTCTCTCAAAGAGGTGCAGAGAGAACACTTCGCTCATTTCAGTGTATTCAGCTAGTCCAACAATCCATCGAGAAAGGTCGTATTTCTCCAAGAATAAATGAGGTGCCAAAAGCTGATGTTACCAGTTCTGAAAGCTTCATAACCATGAATCAAGCATTTGTATTCCCAATCAAGCATCGCTAACACTTCCTTTATTAAAGTCACTTTAAACGCAGGTGTTCCTCAAAATATCTGCACTTAACCAAAATATTTTGTACTTTTCTTCCAGCCCCTGGCCTCGAACTACACCTCAAGCAAGTGGAAGAAAATTGTCAAACCCTCATTGCCATGGAATTCTGCACAATTACACAATGTAAGTTTTTATTTTTACTATTATTTCAAATTCTACTTACCTAATCTAAGAAAACTAAAAATGTAGAACAGGATAAAGTAAGATATTTAATTTATCAAGCCAAGAAGCCTTAAAGATAGATCAGATACTGATTTAAAGTAGCATTCACCTCAAATATATGAGTATGTCATGAAGTTAACCCTACCAAACAAAGTTTCAGACTTACCAGTCATATCTCTAAAATGTTCACTAAGCCAAGCCTAACATACCCTAATGTTTGCCTTAAAGGCTCAATACCAAGAAAAGTCAGGAACTTCACAATCAGGACAACAGGAGTCCTTCTGTCTTGGGAGAAAATTTGGGTCTAAGACTGCTTTTTGAGGAACTGAGAATTTAGGATGTTACCAAAACAAAACAACCAGGCATGGTTCCTCATAGAGAAGACATCAGGAACTGCATTGGACAGGCTCTGGTCACACTGCCTGAAAGGAATTCTCTGCCGCAGAGGGGATGGAGGCATCATGAGACCTCCCACTCTCAAGTAGGAGAATAATTTAGAGGAAGGGCCCTACATACAGATCAGGGACACCAAACAGCAAAAGAGCCATTGCAGTCACAGTTCTGGGGTAAGATAACACCGGCACTCATGCCAAGATCTGCACTTGCTAGAGGCACATCCTCAAGACATTTCACTGGCTGCTTCAGCTTTCTTTCCAAGAACAATTACAAACGCATGGACCAGGCGACTCCTAAACTAAATATTTTGACCCCTTCATGATGTCTCTGAAAAAAATGATGACTAATCCCAGTGCAGGAAGAGGTGGCCAGTCCATTCCGATGTAGAAATGGCCCAGTTACCAGTCCAGGACTGCAGGGACTTCCTGACAAAGTAATAATGGAGGTGAGTCTAAGAATATACATATCACACCTACATGAGTAAGCCAGCCAACTCATTACAAAAGGAAAGCCTCGTGCCAAAACCTTCCCTTCCTTCCAAACAATGAGGCCGAACTGAACGTGACTCAAATCCATTATTCCCCCAGCTACAGGTTATTTTGGTTTTGTGGGACAGAGTGCTTAAACCCTGGTCCAGAGAGGCCAAGAGGCACCGAAGATGCGCGTTAGCCAAGCAAAGAGATCCCCCGAGCTTTTGTTTGGTTTGACAGAAGCCAAAGGGCTGGCGGGCAGGACAGGGAAGATGTTAAAGGTACTGCTAAATCCTGGGAGATAGGACCTGAAGGTGACATGGTTTTGCCAGAGCCCAAGTGGCCACGAAGTGCAGAGGGATGCCCAGCACAACACATCCTCCGCTTCACCAAAGGCTTTTGTTTCTTTTAAGGAAAACGTGCCGGCCTCCTTTAACTCCTGCTCCTCTCGGGCGAGGAGGTGCCAGATTTCTCGCCTTCTGCATTTACAAGAGGGGAAATAACAACCACCAAAGTTTTTTTGGGCTAACAGGAAGGTCGAGAGGAATTGAAAGCGGTTATCTACCTTCACCCACGGAGCGCTGCCGTGGCCCTCCGAGGGCCGGCCTCTGAAGTTTGGGGAGGGAAGGGACAAAACCAGAGGGGACAAAACCTCCCCAAAACCCCAAGGCAGAGCGCTGCAGCCCCACCAAACCCCGACAACACCACCACAGCCCGGCACCCCCAGCCGACCGTGGTGACCATGGTGGTGGTGGTGGGGGGGTGGGGGGGGGGCTTTAAGTAAAAACACAGCGAGTGGGTTAAAAACATGGGGGTGAAAAAAAAAGCAGAAAATAAAGCAAAACAAGGCCGGGAGCTGCGGCTTCGCCCCAAAACCCCCCCCCCGGGGGCGAGGCCCCGGGCCCGGAGGGCTCCAAGCGACCGCCGGGGGGCGCGGCCCGGCGGGGGGAGGCCGGGACCCGCCGGCGGCGACAAAGAGGCCGGGGAGGGGTGGGGAGGGAGGGGAGGGACGGGGACAGGGGAGGGGGGCGGCGGTGCCCGAGGTGGCGGGGTCCGTCCGGGCGGCGTACCTTGAAGTACCCCCCCTCGTAGAGGGTGTTGGGCGGCCCGAAGATCGCCACCTCCCAGTTGTAGAGGTCGGACTCGTCCACCAGGGTGATGCGGAAGCCCTCGACCGGCTCCTCCTGCAGCGACTTCAGCTCCAGCATCAGCGCCTTCTGCGAGCTGCTCATCTGCTGCTGGGCCATGGCGCGGCCCCCGCCGCCTCCTCCTCCTCCTCCTCCTCCTCCTCTTCCTCCTCCTGCTGCTGCTGCTGCTGCTGTTGCTGCTGCTGCTCTGCCTCCTGCTGCTGCTGCTCCTTCTCCTCCTGCTCTTGCTGCTGCCGCCCCTGCCCCCGCCGCCCCAGCCCCTGCCCCCGCTGCTGCTGCTCCTGCCCCGCCGCTGCCGCCCCGCTGCCCCCCGCCCCGCCCCGCGCTGCCGGCCCCCGCCGCCGCCACTTCCTTTTGTGACGGCGCCCGCTCGGCGCTGACCTCAGCGCGCCGGGACACGCCCCCTGCCCCGCGTGGCCACGCCCCCTGCCCCTGTGGCCACGCCCACCCCTCCCCTACAGCCGCGCCGCGCTCCCCTCTAGCCACGCCCACCCCGCTCGCGTGGCCACGCCCACATCGCTTTAGCCACGCCCACTCCCCCGTGTAGCCACGCCCACCCCAGTGAGGCCACGCCCCCTCTCCTTATAGCCGCCCCTTCCCGCGGCGCTCACGCCCGCTCCCCGCGTAGCCCCGCCCCGCTCCTTTAACCACGCCCCCGACCTCGTTCTTAAAGGGATAGCACCTCCCTGCTCCTCTCGCCCCTGCCCCCCCTCTCCCTCCCCCAGCATGGCCGCCATGTTCTCGGTGGTGGCTGCTGGAGGGGGAGGGAGGAGCAGGAGCCGGGGAGGGGAGGGGAGGTGTTTACCTACAGAGGCTGGTGTGCACAGAGGTTGTTTTGGGAAGTGGCCAAGTCTGACCCAGCACCCCACAGCGATCCCCAAACACCCAACAGTGACATCAAAGCCATGCTCCCATAGACATCAGTGCTGTTTACACAAAACTCCACAGGTGCACGAGGTGCCACGGCCAAAAAGTAGCTGTGTTCCTTCCTCCCATCCTCCCCAGGAGCAAAGACACCCCCAGGGCCACAGCAGTGCCCACCACAGCTCCACACACGGTGCTGTGAACTCAAAATCAAGGCGAAGACCTCAGAGAGTGCCTGCAAGCTCGTGTTCCTCAGCAAACCTTTATGGAATCAGAGAACAAAGCGATGATCCAGAAGGAGGACAAGCAGCACAGCACAACTGCAGATGGCACGAGTCTGGGTCTCGCTTTTGGAAGCGTTAATGCACGCACCTGCCTGTCAGCATATGGGGCCACTCAGCTGCTTGCAGCGTGCCTGGCACGGGCGCACGTGTGAGCTGGAAGTCTTTCCCCGGCCAAGATGGGAGAAATAATGAGGAGGTAACACGGCACCGACAGGGAAAAGTTGATGTGTATTACCTGATACGGAATTAAAGTGGTTCTAACGAGGATAATTTTAATAGTCAAATGCTATAATGAGTTCTGAATTACTTGTAACGTCCCCCAAAACATCAGAGTTACTAGAAGGCTATTTCTGCTCTTTGTGTACTTGTGGTTAAATAAAAACTGTGGATGAAGGAACGTAAAAATCATATAATGCTTTGATGTAAATCTGTGGCATTGGATTACATGGAGTCTAGGAATTAAATGGTAAAGGACCTTGAGATGCTGCAATACAGAGAGAGATTGAGGAATGTTTACTTTAGAGATGAGATTAATTAAAAAGATCAAAGCAGTCACAGGAACCAAGAACAACAGGGCACTCAACAGGGACTGTCCAGAAAATGGGAACTGATAACAGGGAATAGTTAACTTCACTGGACTGTGGGACACTGTGCTGCAGGATGTTACTCTGTCCAGGACTCGGTCCTTAATCCATTTCTGCTAGGCATTGCTTTCATCATTCCGCACATGGCAGAGTTTCTTCACCTTGTGGTGGCCAAAGCTCCTTGGACAAACAGCCTGGAGAAGGTGTGCCTGACCACCCCTCCACCCCTGTGTAGCTTCACCCCCTCTGCCTTTCCTCCACCACCACTCGCTGCTATCCCACCCTGCGGACAGCCCTAGGGGTAACCATTAGACCTGTAGTCCACCTTTTCCAGACCCATGGACTTTCCTGAATGTGTGGGACAGCTGTCACGGATCTGGTGGTGATCTGGGGCAGCCTGTGCTGCAGGTGGACTCTGAAGTCCCCTCCTGGCACTGGGAGCTATGTCTCACTCCCCAGACTGTGGCCCTGGGAGAAGGCAGCGTGCTTGCCCCGTACACCAGCTGTTACCAGGACAAATTTGCCATTGTCCCTGTGGCAAGCACAGCTTGCTCCCTTCCCTCCTCCTGCCACTGCTCTCCTTGTACTCCACCACCTCTTCCAGCTCTCCCCAAGGAGGCCCCCATCACCTTCTCCAGAGATGCTCTGTAGCCAGCACTAGTGCCTGGTCCTGAGCCTGTGGCTGTAAAACACTGGCACAGGTTTGCAGAAAGCTGTTTAATTCTGTTCTCACGCCTTCAGCCTGTGGGCTGGACGTCTGGATCACGAACACTTCCACATTGCTTGCGTGGCTGAGAAGCTGTTTGTTGGAGGAACTCTGCAGAGGTCAGGCTGTGTCATGCTGGGAATATTTTTTGCCAGGAGCTCAGTCCCATATTATTTACATCTTGGGTTGATGGAGTTAATGTCTTGACGATACGGGATCAGGCTGACTGGCAGTACATGTGGGCCAGGAGCTGAGTGCTCCCTTGGTGGCAGGTGCTTCCATCACTGCTGGCTTTGGCCACCCTTCTTAGTGCCTCAACATCTGGGCCACATCTGGAAGGGCTGCAGGCACGGTGCTCTCAGCAGTGAGAGAAAGCATTTCAGCTCTGCCTGTCACGTCCCATCCATCTGCAACGAGTCTCTGGCTTCATCCCACTTCTTTCCAACCCAACAGCCCCCTCCCAGCTGCCTCATTACTGTTCCCTGCTCCTCAAACCCTACCAGCCCCATTTATGCCTCCATCCCTACCTCCCAAATGTCCAGGTTTAATGTTATGGACAATATCGTTCCCAAACGACTCAGCACCCATTTCCAGCCACCCCTCCACATGCTCTGCTCTCATTGTGGATGAGTCCAGGGAAGCACCCAACCCGGAGAGCCACACCGTGCCATTTCCCACTGATGTTACAGTGCAAGGATTTTCCTGCACTGCTTCGTTAACACCATGTCCCAGCTTCTGAAGAAATGTGGCTTTGCCCAGAGGACAATATAGGCATGATCTGAACAGCTGGAGCCAAACCCTTTTGGGATAGTGCTTGCCCCTATTTCTGTGGTAATTGAAAGAGATTTCCTTGCAGCCAGCCTCCAATGCAGGCTGAACCAGCCCAATGGTGGGAAGGATGGGAGAAGCAGAGTTTGTCACCATTCAGGACTTATCTCCTCCTGCTGCCTGTCTCGAATGTTAACGAAAGAGGTAATCATGCAAGGCAGAAAGTAAAGAAAACCCTGGTGTATTCAATAGGGCAGGCTGAAAAATTTCCATCAGGCCTGCTTTTAGAGGGAATACTGATTTTTTCCTCCCTTTTTTTTTTTTCTCTTTTACAAAAACATCCACTTATCACAGAAAATAGAACCGATCGAAGAAACGGAGTGTTGGGAAGCCTGGGCACTGCTCTCCCACAGACAGGCACTGCATGCCAGCACATGGGGTTCTCTGTGTGGTATGCTCTGCCTCAAACTTGTTCTCTCTCCATTATTTATTTATTTATTTATTTTTTTTTGAAGGAACAGCTTTGCTTTTTGGCCTCAGAAAAGGTGAAATAGGGTTTGGTATAGGGATATGTGGCTCCAGGAAGGAAGCCTCAGCAGCAGAGGAGAAGGCTACACGTGCCATTAATCCAGCTCCCAGACGAAGAGCTGGTCTCTGTAAACTGGACCTCGGATGCCACTGGTGCCTTAAGTAAATCTGAGATGAAAACTTCTCTTCAAGCCCTTTCTGCTTTGTTCTCATCATCTATATTTAATATCTCTCTTCCTCTTCTCTTTCCTCCTTCCTGAGCACCGCATTCATGAACAACGACAAACTGAGAGTTAACTCCTCTGCTTAGCAACAGCAGAAGTCTGCCACGGGAGCTTTGGGAAGGTGAATGCTGCCTCGGTGTCACACTGGGGGTTACTGCCCTGTGAGCTGGCAGAGAGAGGGCACAAGAGGTGGGAAAAGAGGGCAGGCCCCACCTACGCTGCTCAGATCCCAGGGCTCAATCAACTTGCATGATTTTCTACAGAGCTTTATCCAGTTTATTTCCTGAGTGGCTCTGAGGATGAGACATCTGCGCCTTCCTCCGGGGAACAGGACCAGACTACGCTAAAACACGAAGCCATCTCCTCTCCTGCTGCTTTCTCCCTGCTCTGCTCCTCTGCTCTGGCGAGGCACTGGCAGGGACCCAACTTGGGCTTGAATGCTGTCAGATGGATGCTGTTGTGATAGAGAAGGTCAGGCAGGGGTAGGAGCTCTGCTCAGCTGCCCTAAGAACCATTTGTAGCCCCTTTGTACCTCAAAACAAGGACTTGAGGACTGTGGGACTTGGAAACAGTGCAGGATGCGTGGAGGTCCACCTTGTTGCCTTCCTGCACCACGGCAGTATCCGCTTGTCCTAAGCGGGCCCAGACCAGTGCTTCCAACCTGTGCTTCCTATTTGCTCAACCTGCTCCTGAGGGTCAGCTTGCTTCTAGGCTTGCCTCACCTCCCAGTTAGCTTTCTTGCTTTGTTTCTTGTTGTTTTTAGGTCTCCCTTACCTCAACTCGTACCTTGGTTCTTCCAGGCCACTGTGAGTACAAAGAAGACAGTGTAGGGACTGGTTTATTTCTTCCATCTCTTTCCTGAAGTGCTGTCAGCTGGTGCAGGTCTCCAGCCATGCTTTGCAGACTGGATTCTCTGTCAAGGAGAAATCGGTGATGGAGGAATATGGGCATTTCTTCTGTTGTTTGCACCTGAAGCCTTGGTCCCAGACCAGAGGGCAGTCCAGCACCATGGTACGGAGCTCAGGCCAGGCAGCAAAGCCCCATTGCCAAGAAAATTTTTCCCCATTAACTCCCCAAGCATCTTGTGAGAGGAATCAATGTGCAATCCTCACTTACATATGGCCTGGATTCAGAGAACAGGCCCAAGTGCTCAGGGGAAGCGACTGTGAATCTCTGAGGATAAAAGTCTGTCCACAATTCACCTTTTAGCTCTGTTTCACCTAAAAATGGGGCAAACGCATCCTCAGGCAGAACTCATCACAGAGATGA